GTAATCGCTATCGAACAGTAAAAAAAAAAAAAAAAGGGAAACAGTTAATCCTGTATTTTCGTCGTTGTTGCAAAAAAGAATAGATTCGTGCGATTGAAATTCATTTCGTCTTTTCCTGTATCCGTATTTTTCCATTCTTTTTTTTTTTTTGGATATTAGAATTTGAATTTAAATTACACGATGGAGAAGAGATAAAAATTGAGAACATTTCAGAAGAAATAAAAAAATTCATCAATTTTTATTTTGTGGAACTCTTCTTTATTATAGTTATAGGTTTTTGTTCTAACGGTATTCGCTTATGGGTTTGAAACGAGTAAGAAAACGATGGTTTATCGATATTCGTCTCTTCTAAAGTTCGAGATTGCACTGGAATACGAAGATTTCCCTGCAAAAATAAGTTTCATCGATGTCTGAGACATGATCATGGAATAGTGTTATTCGTTGGCTGCCGAGGCGAGTAATCCTTTCATGGAAAGTGTGCCCCTGAAAGATGGCAATGAAGAGGATCGTTGGGGATCGAAGAAAAGTGAGGGGAATAGAAGACGACATACATCGTTGTCAGTGACATCGACCCGGGCAAGGAGTATATCGCCTTACAATTTCTCGATACAGCCAAAGTTTATTTTCCACGTGGTTACAATAAATTCGTGTATTTTTTCTGGACTATCAACTTTCGTCCGAATTATGTTTCAAGGGAGAAAAATACATAATATGCGCACAATATTCGAAACGTTTGATCTCTCATCTTTCTTTTGTTTCAAGCTTTTTAAGTACTTTCTGTTTGCTTGCATCCGTGCTTTCAATATTGAATACAGTATAAAATCAAAACAAACCATATTGAATATTCATTGTGCGTTCGCTCGAAACGTTAATTCGATCGACATAATTCTTGTATGTATTAAAACGCGTATTAAACATTTATCAATAACATTAATATTATTATGAGGATAGGATTAATTTACTCGTTCTCTGATCCAAATATTCAATTTAGTGTACAATTGATTATGAAAAAAGTTTAAAACATGATTGAAATTGATAGAATGTATAAAATATTAATATTGATGTTATGGTGGCTCAAATAAAAAAATATAGGAGTATTCTTCTATTTATGATTTCTGATTTTCTTTCTAAGAGAATAAAATTTGCTCTCTATAATAATATTTAAATCAATATAATAATTAATTTCATTACTAAATTCTATATTCTCATTAATTTTACACAATTTCTTTAAGACAATATGTTGAATTAAAATTAAACGAATTTATTCCCTTATAAACAATTTTATAATGAATTGTCTTTTTAAAAATTTAACAAAAATGAATTTCAAAAAAATATTCAATTTCACAATTTTCATATATAACAATTTTTCACTGCGTCACATAAATATCCGTTACATGTATGGCATATTGTTATTTTGTTTATTTGACTGGATTTTTCATAGTTATTGCAGTATTATATTATATTTTATATATTGATGACAGCATCTGCGTCCATCTTCAAATTACACAAATAATAGACGAGAGGATATTTTGTGCTCACCCTTGGATTTTTATTTTTTTTTTTTTAATTTTCCTCACATTTCTATGCAAGGATATTTATTTTTTTCCTCATGTAAAAAAACATTTTCACATAAAATATAATTTTTTCAAAGTGTTTATAATTATATTTTATTATATAAGAATTCTAAAAATATCAAATAAAGGATATTAGCATTACGAGGATTAAACTTTTTCGTTTGATTATAATTAATAAATAACTACAATTTTGATATTTCTTTTTTATCCTAATATACGTATTTTCATTACAATTTTCATTAAAATTCTAATGGAACACGATTCGTTGTGGTTATTCCGGATATTCGATTATATTCGTTTCGATTATCGCTCGTAAGAATCGTCAGCGACCTTAAATCATGTCAGCGAGCAATATCGATTGATAGCAACGTGATACGCGGCTGTTTATCATTCTCACTGTCGAATTCATTGTTCCTAGTGAGAATACTTATTCGTCATTTTGATTTGATGATTTGACTCGATGAATGACGAAATTTATCTACGTGCCTAGTGTGTAGGGAAGAGATGAGAAACAAATATCATTTGTCGATTTCTCTTAATTAGTGTGTTTGACAAATAGACGATATAGGCCGAGTTAAACGTTTCCGTAAACAGTTGGGCACGCGTGTTGCGCGTGACTGTAATTGCCGATAAAAATAATTGACTGCATTCGTCATCGTGTTTAAACGTGGTCTCGTGCTCGCTCTTCGATATTATGTAGTATTACGTGGCAAGAGATAGGCTAATTTTTCAATTTTTCATAAATTATTTGAATAAAATATTAGTATTTATCATTTCTAATTAAACATATTTTAATAGATTAATAGATAATCAATAATGTTTTCTGCATTCGAAGAAGTATATCCGATGATTGCTGCTGTCATCTGCCGATGAAATGTTCAGATATTGTACTTTGAATTGTTTCTTTATTTATTATTTTAGTAATAATATTTATGAGCTAATTATTGATGTATGTATTTAGGTGAATATTAATTTTGTCGTTATCTCTGATGGTATATTTATTTTATTTTATTATAAATAATATTACCAACAATGATTGATATTAATAACTTGAAAAATAATTTTTATGACTGTAATATTCCTTTATTTTTTAAAATGTATATAATAAATTAAAGATTGTTTAATTAAACATAAATAATATAATTATAAATTTAAATAGAAAATTATTTTTCTGACAATAAAATAATAATTTAAAACTATAAAAGTAATACAAAGAGATTTAGATATAAAATTTAGATTACAATGAAAACATAGAGAAACTTAATAAGTCAACTTCAAATGTTTACTCAGTTTGATTTGAATGTTTTTCTTGATGTTAAATTATTATATTAAAAAAAAATATTATTGCAATAGATAGTGCTATAAGAAAACATTAAAAGATTTATTAATCATTTATATATATTATTAATTATAATTACATAAAGTAGTAATTATATAAAGTGTAAAAACAAGATCTTTAAAAAAAATGTATGTATTATTACGTAGTCAATTTTTTCATAAACACTATTAACTTTCCAATGACATGCAATCACGATATCAGAAGCAAATAATAAATTCACTTTTTTCTACTGTTTTTTTATTAGCATATATAACATGCATAGATGCAATGTTATTAATAATTAGTTCAATCTATATGTAATATCTTATATGTAACTAGTTTCTAACTTGGTCTCTATACCAATTACAAATGGAATTACAGTTTACAAAGAGAAATTCTATGGCATTTGTTCAAAGGTAATTTTTATTTTCCCGAAGTAGATCAAAGTTTAATATAATAGATGAACTGAGGAGAAAATTGGAAGAATAATGGTTGACATTTTGAGAAAAAATTTCTTTGTCACGTAAAGACGATGACAGGAGAGAAGAAGAGTGAAGAGATCCTTTTATTCTTTTTTTTTATGATTTATATTGTGGCTGAAATATTACACCGAAAGTTGCGTTCGACAACATGCGAAAGTGTGAGAATACGGAGAGGAATCATTGAAGAAGGGGGTTGAAAGGGAACGAGCAATCGTTCGCGAAAATACACGACCGTCAGAAGCATCCTATTGAGCTTTGTGTTCGATTATAACATACACGGAAACGTACGAGGACAGGTGATTGTGAATCTATGTGGAAAAACAAGAAACGTGAAT